CCCCTCCCCTCCTTCGCCTCCGCGCCGCCCTCGCCTCGCTGCCCGTGCCCACTGACGTGGCTGCGGAGCCGCTTGCGCCTGGGCCGTGGTGCCTCTCCCTCCCGCTCTGGGGCAACCCGCTGCTCCTCTCCCCCTCGCACCCTGCCGGCCTGGATTCCTCCTTTGCTGACTTTCTGGGTGCAGGGGTGCACTGCCTGCGCCGCTTGCTTGAGGTGGAGCGAGCCGCGCTGGCGGCGCCGACCCATGCGGCCTACACCGCCGACGTGCGCGGCCCCCTCCTCCGCTCCTCCTACGCCTTCGTTGAGCGGCATGTGGCGCTGGAGCGGGTGGCACAGCTGCTAGCTGCCCTGCCCCTGCCCTGGGTGGCGGCGGCGCGCGCCGCTGCCTCCGCTGCCGCCGCTGGCCTGGGGCAGTCCCTGTGTCCCCGGGCTGTTCTTGCCGGCACCCTCTTGCCGCGCCTGGGCTGGCGCCGCTCTGATGGCCGCCCTGTCCCCCTTGCGGCTCTAACCGTGCGCGCCGCAACGGCCCTCCTGGCTGCCCCTGCGGTTGAGCACCGCGCCGCCACCCGCCTTGCCCGATTTGCCGCCGCCGCCGCGGCTGCTCCCTCCCCCGCCGCTGGCCCCCTGGCCGAGCTGCAGTCGGCCTTGGCCCGGCTGTGGCGCCTGCCTTGGGAGAATGGCAGGAAGGAGGTGTTCTGGAGGCTGGTATACGATGCCTTGCCCACGGCGGCCCGCATGCACCGGGATGAGCCCTGCCTGTGTGGTGCCTCTGGCCCCCGCCCTGACCGCCACCACCACTTCTGGGCTTGCCCTGTGGCCTGCGCTGTTGTTGCCGCTGTCCATGCGGCCCTAACTGCCGCTGCCCCAGCTGATGCCCCTCCCCCTCCCCTTGTCCCCGCCGACATCTGGCTTGCCCGCCCCCCGCCTGGCGTGCGCGCTGGCGCCTGGGGTGTGGTGTGCCTGGCCGCTGTGGAGGCCATGGACCGGGGCCGCCGCAGCCTGGCGGCCGAGGTGCTGCGCCGCCGTGGCGCCCCGCCAGCGCAGCCCGCCGGACCGCGCTTCACCCAGCTCACCCTCGACGGCTTCCTGCACCAGCCGGCCTCGCGGCCTGCTGCCGGCGCAGCCTCCTCCGGCGGCGGCACTCAGGACCCGCCGCCCCCGCCGCTGGAGCCGGCCGCGCCTGGCCCCGCAGCACCGCAGCCCGCAGCCACGCCGCTGGAGGCTGCCCGCCGCGCGGCTCTCCAGTCCTTCTGGTCCCTTCTCGCTGATTTTGAGGCCCTGGGCTGTGCCCCCGCCTCTTGGGTTGACAGCCTTGGCCCTGCCCACCCCTTTTTCTTCTCTACCGGCGGCCGCGTTCGGCTCCGCCCCCCTCCTGTTCCTCCCCCTGCTTGATCGTCAG